CATTTTAAATTTGGGAGAGAAAACTGTCTTTCCAGCTTCTCTTAAAGAAGCAACACCAGGCCAGCGTCCCTTCATGGCAGTAGTCTACTAACTGCAGGCATTATCTTTAGAGTGCTGTCTGTATACCTGTAGTACGTTCTGAATTCATATCCGTATAAATTATCGGACCCTGCACTAGACTGACTCAGAATTTCTCAAGGCAAGCCTTGGCAATCAGTATTTTTTAACCGGCTCTCTGAATGGTTCTCATATACACAGTGCATATAGATGAGAACCACTGTTGTGAGGTTTCTGTTCCCTCTCATCGTACCTAAGGAAATGGTTGAGTTGGCATGCATGTGGGGCACAGGTGCAGGGCAGGCTTCAGTGCTTCCCTGCAGATAGGCTCATTGCTCCTTTTAGTCTGAATGGGTATCCTTAGCCACATTCAGGAAGCACATGGTCGTATCCAATCTGAAGATGTAAAAGCCTTGTACATCGCATGGTCTGCCTCTGACATCAAAGACTGCAATCCCCATAGTAATTATGGATCTTGCATATAATTCAGGGTCACATTGTTCTGTGCACGCTGGGCTAGGAATCTCTGTAGTGTGTGATCCCAGGTACCGTACCTTCCTTAAACCTGTCGGGAAAAAACAACAAAAACCAAAGCCCAGATCATTACTGAACCAAAAGCAAACCCTCTTCATTTAGTTAAAACATGAAAGTAAGTTCCAGTTAGGTACAAAGCCAATGTGTTGGCGGAGGCTGAGTGTTGGTATTGGACTAAAACTGTCTTATAGCTGTCTGTGTGGATGTTTTATACAGAAAGTATCTCTCTGTTCCTCTCAGCATCCCTGTGTAGATGCCACTCATGTGGACTATCTGTAAACTATGATTTCAGACTCTTCATTAAGGGTTTTATTGTCTCACCCATCTGATCAACTCGGATGGTATTTTTATTATATTTCTCACACAAAAAAATAATGACCAACTTTAAGTTGGCAGTGAACCTAAATATAAGTTGATTAGGATGTGTAGCGATGAGTCACTATTGCTAATGAATATTTCAAATTTCCTTTAGCTTTCTTGGCAGAAGAGCTCACCAAGAACTTTAAAAGTCCAAATTGGAATTATTGGCTCATTATAGACTGGCCTGAGAGACAGAACTGAGCAGTTGCAGTGGTTTCATCTCTCAAAGCCAGAATTTCACCTTCAGACTGCCAATTGTTGTTCCCCAAGGGGGCTTGACGGTCTTCCAGTCTTTGGAAATCATCATCAATCATGAAAACCATCGCAGCCTGTTTTCCAACTTCAGACATTAAAGTGGTTTTGCTAGTCTTAGACAAGTCAGCCAGCTTTCTCTAGAGTATTGGAAGAGAAAGAGCAGAGGAAAAGAGGGTGAAACCAAAGGTCTGCCTAGCTCCCCAGATTTGGAAACAAAGGCAGAAGTGACTTCCAGAACTTATCTTTTGCTGTGAAAAACACCAATGTCACCAGAATTTAACATTGAGGATATTGGGTCAACTCCCTTTGTCAGGAAAACAGACTTTCAGTTAATTGCAAATAGTAGATCAGTTTTTATCAATGGTTTGGACTTCATGATCCTAATAATTATGGACTTAAAACTCTCTATGCTGCATGAAAATAATAGAAGAATACTTCTGGTTAGATTTGTAAAATAATTTGTCAGTCAAACCTTCTATAATCCTCCCATAAAAGCTATAAAGTATGCCAGAAACAAAAAAGCACAGGTGGAAAAATGGCAGTGAGATTCAGGAATGCCCACTTTCCTATCTCTTTTGTGTTATGGAGGTAACCATCCTCATTCATGCCTACACTATTATGGTTTCACATAGAGAGCAGAGTGTTTTTTAGATTCGACAGTTCAACAATATAGGATATATATATATATATAT